TTTTTTTTATATTATATTTTATACATATTCCATATATATACTAATATAACTTGGTAGGTAAAAAAAATTCCCCAACTCTTTCACTTTTCTCTCTATCTCTCTTGGTCTCTCTCTATCTTTTTCTTGATTTTTTCTTTTAGTTTTATTTTCTTTTGTTAATTTTAGTTTTATTTTGGGAATCAAGTGGATATAGCAAGGAGATCATTAAGGAAAGCTTGAAGAATACATTGAAGGAATTACAATTCGTATTTAAAAGGGTTTTATCTCAACTTTTGTATTCCTTTCATTTAGTTCTTCATGTTTGTAATGATATGTTTATGAGAATCTCTTTGTTATTTTGTTAGAATGATGAACTAAATAAGTTTATGTTGGAATTTATGTATTAGCTTAACCTATTTTCATTAATATCATGTTATATGTTGTTAGATATGCATTTGTTATCAAAATATTGGTGTATTAATTATCATGTTTAAGATTACTACATTTATTTGACGTCAATAGATGTTGTGGTTAGGTAGTTGTGTAATTATTGAAAAAGAGTTGCACATAATAGACCGAAATAATTAATACCATAGGTTTGTATGGTTTCGACTATACGCGTTTAGGTATCCAGACATGTATACCTACTCTATGTTACCCGTTGAGTTATTTTCACAAAAATTGAATGCAGTTGTTTGGTTTAGAACGACATAGAAATATGTTAATGCCAAGCAATTAGGGTTGATATCGCTCGACAGAGGTTATTGACTAATTTTGGAAAATCGGGTCTAACCACATATTTTGGTAATTTGCATCGACGCATAATTGGCTTGAAAAGGGTTAAGCGAAATCATAAATTCCAACATCTTTTAAAATCAAACTTTTCCATTTTTTAAGTATTATTTAAATATTTTAAATCAAAATCGAGTTTTCACCTTTTTATAGTTTTTAAAATCGAACTTTTAAATGTGTGTATCTTTTTCGTTAATTTGAAAAAAAATACACTCATAATTGAAAACAACACTCTCTGAGGGATCGACTGGGACTTAAAAGCTCCATTATACTATTTGATCATGACCCGTGCACTTGCGGCATGCCATTTAATACCGATCATGATCCACGCATTTGTCTGAACTATAGTGAGTTTCTCTATAGTCCCACCGGCTACACTACACTTCACTTGATAATGAAGAACAACCTAATGGGCAAGTGTGGTATGCGAATCATAGCACGTGTAGTCGTTCAACGTGTCCCGGACATGTATCATGTCCCAAACATCATTGCGCTAGTTTCAAAGTGAAATCGATATCTCCTGACCCAAAATGGCAACTGGATGTTTCAAATGTATGGGCGACATTTCTACTCATTTCGTGTCCGTTTGGTGCAATGAAACCCGTAAGCACTTGAAAATTGAAGGACGAAGGTTCAAATTACATTTCGCCACTGCGATCCACACATTTGTCCGAACTATAGTGAGTTTCTCTATAATCCCACCGACTACACTACACTTCACTTGATAATGAAGAACAACCTAAGGGACAAGTGTGGTATGCAAATCATAGCACGTGTAGTCGTTCAACGTGTCCAGGACATGTATCATGTCCCAAACATCGT